CACACCTAGTTTTAACTAAACTCAACTCAAGATATTTTGTGCATTTGTTTTTTTGACTGAATTTTGGTGGTGTTAGTGACAGACCTAGCACCCTGATGTTTAACTGTAACCAGGGTTTCATTATATGTGCTCTTCCACCGACCTATGACATTTCATTAATACATTTCAAGATAGTCTTTCATTTCTAGATGTACATAGGATGGGAAAGATCTGATACATGAACATGTCTTAAATGGGTTACAGTATTTTAGAATTATAAACATTTTTCATTATTGGAAAGTGTAATGGGGACCTTCTGCATACCTGTTTAGAACCAAAACCACCACGACACAATTTTTATAGTGTCTGTCTATTTGTGATGCAGTGGTCTTGTAAAGGTTTTTACTGAATTCTGCCATTAGCCAGTCTTTCTTACTGACAATAAATTATTAATAAAATACTTAAGCTTTACTGTCTTCTTTCTTTGCATTTATATTTTGTATTCGTGTTGAGGATCTAGTTGCTAACTTTAGGTGTGAGGATGAATGAATTGGAAACATGGATACAGGTGTATTAGCTGTATTGACTTCAATGCGGCAGTCTCTTCCATTTGCCAGACTGGATGTACTTACAGATGCAGTCACCAGGTGGCAGCATGTGGCTACCTGATACCCTTCTGACTGGCTTTAAGAGCTTTAACTGTAACCTTGAACAGGTTAGCTGTCTCATACATGAATTTTTTTTTCTCCTTGAACTGAAGGAAATTTTTACTTACTACATTTTAAATTTTAATTATTATTTATTGACTGTGATATAAATGCTTCCCTATCTTCACTTTTTTAAATGACATTTTAGAAAGCAATCTTCATGAAGTATTTGTTTATTTCAAGAGAGCCCACCATATTTCTGTGTGATTTAATGTGAACTCCAGTAACCATATCAAGTCCTGTGTCCTTACCCAGCACAGTCAAAATCTGTCTCTGCAGCCAACCACTAGTATGAGTAACAAGGAATTCAGCTTTTTTAGACCTTTGGGACGATACGCATTTCTTTTAAGTAAAGGTCTTTATTTTTATTGAATAATATCCATATATGCATAGTTCAGAACTAAAGTTGGACCAAAGGGAGAAACCTCTGGCACTCTGTAATCCCCCTTCAAGGAGTTTCATTTGTCTCTTCGCGTTTTCAGTGGTAGCTGCCATGTCTTGCATCACAAACCGAAAATCACCTACTGATTCTGTATGATGTGAGCGGAAGTTCATACCACCGGTGATCTGATAACTTCAATTGCATTTGTTAACTCATTGCTTACAGCAGCGTTTGGTTTAATCTGTATGGTGCTTTCATTCTTTAATTATGTAAATATCCACTGCTGAGCTAAGTAGTAGATTTGTCTAATTTTGCAAACTTTCTTTAAAAAGCAATTGCTTTGATTCTGTTTTTACTTTAACTTGTTATTATTTCATTTATTCACTCAAAAAACATAAAACCAAAAGCACTGCCATTGTGTCAATACTGACTCTTAGCAACCTCATAAGACACAGTAGAACTGCCCCTGAGAGTTCCCGAGACTAACTCCATAGGAGTAGAAAGCCCCATCTTTCTCCCTCGGAGTGGCTGGGGATCTTGAACTGCTGACCTTACACTTAACACTCCAGTGCATAACCACGACGCCACCTGGGCACCTCAGTTCGAATAGACATAGACTTATTCCAAGCTGAATGTTTCAGGTATCTGTCATCAAGGGATGGTGGTAGACAAGTTCTTTCTGTAATACACTTGCCAGGGTGCTGTGTTCGGCCAGGTTTCCAAGAGAAACAAATCCAGTGACACTCAATCTCTATATAAGAAAGATGTAATTCTTTCTATCAAGAAGTAATTCTGTATCAAGAAGGTAGTCCAGCCCAGTCCAAATCAAACCCATCAGTCTGGTGCTAGCCCCTAAGTTCCTCTTTTGACTCAAGTAGCCACATGCCGGTGACACAGAATGATGAACCAGGAGGCAGGAAATTCAGTGGAACTTAGCAGGGCTGTTGCGGCTCTCGTTGACAGCAGAGTCCCAATGGGCAGGAAGGCAAAGTGGCAGATCATCCCCAGTGCCCCACCCTCCTACCAAAAGGCTTATGACATCAAGGAGATGTCATCACACTGCTATGTGGTTGACTACCCCATCACTTCCCTAAAAATGCAAGTTGACAAAATCATCCAACTATCATGAGTGCCATTAACAAAGGTCCAATCAGGTCTCTTCAATACAGGCGTGGTTGTCAGCTTGGAAGTTTAGTTATTGCAATGGGGTAATCAGGATAGATATTCTTGAGACAGGACAATCATGGCTTGTTATGAAGCAATTTTTAGAAAATTGTGAAGTGCCTTGGTGAGAAGACAGAAATGTTGGACCAAGGAAACCTGCTTTATGTCAACAACATGCCTGGTCATCCTTTGATGGTACCGAGAGCTGTCGTAGGAGGATTTCATTGCAGAACGTACCCTGTTTACCCTACAGCCCCAGCGCTTGCCCCTTCAGCTCGCTTTTTGCTTCTAACACTCGTGGACAAGGAAAGCCATCTGAGTCCTTTGAGGGTGTCAGAACTGCCACTTGGGTGTGGTATCAATTGGAGAAGACAATTCTTTGGAGAAGGATGAAGAGGTCAGTGCTGCATCTTCAAAAGTGCATAGACCTGGATGGAGGCTGTCAAGAAACAATATCTCCACATTTTGATATTTTGGTTTAATAAATGTTTCTATGATTCTGTAGCAATGTTGTCTTTTTCACCCTTGTGTTTTTGATGACATAAAATTACATATTAGTGTATGATGTGATGAGTACTGTGGGGGAAAGTGGGATTTCCGAAGAAAGGTGTCGGGGGAGGAAGGGACATTTAAGAAGATGCAGAAATCCTGAATGATAGGGTATTTGAAGGAGAGGTCGAAGTGGAGGGAGACTGACAAGCCCATGGCTGTGCAAGAATGGGCATTTCTGGCAAGGAGGGTACAGAATGAAGGCCCTGGGGTTGGAGTATGACTGGGAAGTTGAAAGGAAAGAAGTCTGTATGGTCTTGTGCTGCTTAGTACATGATCCAAACGAGGAGAACATTTGCCTGTTTCCATGACTTCATGCTGCCATAGCAAAAACTCCGTGGTTTTTTGCTCCGTGGTTATGCATTGGGCTGCGATCCATCCGGAACCACCAGCGACTCCATGGGAGAAAGACAGGACTTTCTACTCCTCTAAAGAGTTAATATCACACACACACACACACAAAAAACAGTTACCATCTTGGAAACACAGGAGCAGTTCTACCCCATCCTATAGGACAACTATGAGTTGGCATCAACTTGGCAGTGAATTGTGTTTTGCCATAGCAAGATACCACGATGTGGGTGGCTTTAATGAACTAATCTGTTGTCACACAGTTTTGGAGACTGGCTAGAAGTCCTCAAGTGCTGTCTAGTCGATGCCAATTCACAGCGACCCTGTGTACAACAAGGAAACACTGCATGGTCCTGTGCCGTCCTCACAACTGTTCTTAGACCTGAGCCCAGCAAAACAGCCACTTTGTCAACCCATCTGTCAAAGATCATCTTTTTTGCTTCCCTTCTACTTAACCAAGCACGATGTCCTCCAGGGGCTAGTCTATCTTGAAAATATGTGTCCAGTACATGAGGCAAAGTCTTGCCATCCTTGCCTCTAAGGAGCATTCTGTAAGAAGTCCTATTCCTAAGTCACATCATAAACTCACAGAAGGAATAACTGAACTGTTCTATGGTAACACCAATGACTTCAAAATGCTGAACAGACTTCACTTGCAAACCAAAAACCTATACCCAGGGAAACTATTAGTCAAGTCTGAGGGTGGACTACAGACATTTTTCCAGAAATACAAAATCACAAAAGATGACCTCCCATAGATACTTTCTCAGAAAACAACGGGAAGATATGCTGACCAATTCATATGCACTGGGTTTGATGCCATTGATGACAATCCCCCAAGGCAAAATCACACACATCCTGTGTGCCATTCCACCCCTCCTGCCTTCCTCGCCCTTCAAACTCTGCCCCTGGGTGAATGCTGCCCTTCTCCTCTCAAACGGCTGATTTCCTGTGGTGTGCCCACCACCCTAGTGTTACTGTGCTCCTTCTAGATCAATTTATTGCTTAGCTGGACATTGAACCCTGGCGCTGAGTTCAGATCTAGACTTGGAAGGGCGGCTACGGGCCATAGTTTCAAGGGTTCCACCTGTGTCTAGCTGACTACGATGTCTGATCTTTATTTTGAGTTTTGTCCCACCCTTTCCTCCCACTCCACTGAGGACCTTCTAGTTCCATCCCCTTCGGAACAGTTGGTCATGGGAGCCAGGCATCCCACGTAGTTCTCGATTCAGTGTCAGGATGATTGAACGTTTGCATGGTGCAATAGGTCACTGAATAAATTGGCTTCACGCAGCTTCTGAAGTACAATGTCGAACATTGTTTTTGTGGGTTATGCTGTGCCAATGGAAGGTGCTTGGCTAGGAATAAGTGTTATCATAACTTTGTCTTCTGTATGTGCCTACATCCATGGGCAAGTTTGCAGCAAAGGTAAATAAATACCCATGTACAAATACCCTCTGTCGAGGGGTGGTGTGTGTGTGTATGTGTGTGTGTGTATTTTCCTAGGTATACTTACACTCTTACACCCATGCAGCCTGTGTGACTCCTCAGGCACCTGCGCATCCGTCACCATTACTGCAGAT